TTATGTGAGCATTGTCATGACAAGTACTCATCAATTAATGAATATCCAAACAACACTGAAAATATAAAATGCATTCAGGCTCAGTGGATCACACCTGCGCTTTGGGAGGTCAAGGCAGAAGGGTTGTTTGAGGCTAGGAGTTTAAGACCAGCCGGGGCACCATAGCAATATCCTGTCTCTACAAAAAAAAAATACAGGTACAGTAGTGTACACCTGTAGTCCCAACTTTACTAGCTGCTCAAGAGGTTGGGGTGGGAGGATTGCATGAGCCTAGATGGCCTAGGCAGTAGTGAGCAAGATATAAAATATAAAATGATTGTTTTAGCATTTTATATCTTCATTATTGTAGTAATCACTCAATTCCTGAGTCTCCTAGAATTTCACTAATAGGAAAGTCTACACAGGCAGGGAGTTCCAACATTTTTGACAAGAATAGTGAAATATATTAAATTTTATATCTATGATAGTTGTAAAATACATGTTAATTCTTAAAATGTTAATGCTTATTTTAAATTAGCATTGAAGTGAATTAATTACAGGAAGAAGATACAAAATAGGGAGATTTTACCAGATTTTGTTTAAGATCCTTTAGCATTCATAATTATATAATTTCTGGGATTTTGAGAATTTAGGATTTCCCAATCTCAGAGTAGATTTAATTTATTAGGAAAATAAAGATTATATTGCCATTGAAGATTTTCAATTTGTTTCCTTTGGTAGGATGTAATTTCTTAATACTTAGCTGTGCATGAGATAAATGGAATTATAATTTCTACTTATTACAATTTTTTATTAAATTTTTTTTTACTCTTTCAGTGAATAACCCTATACCTTCTAATTTAAAATCAGAAGCAAAAAAGGCTGCTAAAATATTGAGAGAATTCACAGAAATAACTTCCAGAAGTGGACCTGATAAGATCATTCCTGGTAGGTAGATAAAATGAGTGCTGCTCATCTCTACACTAGTTTGTTTCCTAGGTTGCTTTTTACATTCCCTGATGTACCCTTTCAGGCCAAAGACCCATGTACCAGCAAGTACTTCTACCACCTTATTCCTCCTGGCTGATCCAGGGACCACTGACTCCCCTCCAGTGCTCTGCCCAGTGGTCTAGAAGGCAACCTTCCTCCCTCTCGCATAGGCATTCTCTGGCCTCTCCTGTTGATCACGTGTTCCTGCTCCACCTCACCTTTGCTGACCCCCTTCCTTACCTCACTTTCTGAGAACGCTACAAGCTAACCTGTAGACTTGCTTGTTAATGTCATAAGTACGTTTTAATTTTTTGTTTTCTTCTTTCACATAAGATATTTCATTCCATAATGGTTTAAGAAGAAATTTTCAATTTTAATACCCAACACAGCTGTGTATCCGTATTCTCTCTATTAAAATGTAGTTTCTAAACCTCACTCCACACTTGGTGAATCAGATTCTCAGAGCAGTGTGACCAGGAATACATGTTTTTTAAAACATGTTTCTCATTACATTTTTTTTTAAGTCAGGATTTCTGTCACCCAAGCTGTAGTACAGTGACACAATCATGGCTCGCAGCATCCTTAACCTACTGGGCTCAGGCAATTCTTCCACCTCAGCCTCGTGAGTAGCTGGGACCATGCCTGGCTAATTTATTTATTCATTTATTTTTTTGAGTCGGAGTCTCACTCTGTTGTACAGGCTGGAGTGCTGTGGCAAGCTCATGGCCTCCGCAGCCTCGACCTGCTGGACTCAGGTGATCCTTCCACCTCAGCCTTCCAAGTAGCTGAAACTACAAGCCTGTGCTACCATACCTGGCTTATTTTTTGACTTATTGTAGAGATGAGGTCTTACCAAGTTGCCCAGGCTGATCTCGAACATCTGAGTTCAGGCAATCCTCTCTCCTTGGCCTCCCAAAGTGCTGGGATTGCAGGCTTGAGTCACCCCACCTGGCCTATTTATTTTTTTATAGAGATGAAGTCTCACTATGTTGCTTAGACTGATCTTGAACTCCTGGCTTTATGTGAGCCTCCCACCTTGGCCTCCCAAAGTGCTGGGATTGCAAGCATGAGCCACCATGCCTGGCCACTCATGTAATTCTTATGTAGTCAGGCTGACCACATAAGACTTGATCAAGAGGTGAACCTTTGAAAACCACTAACTGTTCAGTACTGCTTCTAGTTACCTCCAAAAGGTGTTCACAGCATGCTTATATCATGCAAAGAAAATTCATATGCCAATTAGCTTGGGCAATGCTGCAGACCAGTTTCCCTCTTAATTAATCACAGTGCATGACTGAGTACTGCATTAAAGAGATCCATTTAATTTTTTAATCTCACAGATTTTTAAATGATTTGTATACCTAACCCTGAATTGTACCCCACATCTTTAAAATAAAAACTTCTTAAAAAAGAAACGTAAAAAAAAAAATTCTTATAATAGTCTTAACATTAGTTATGATATAATATGTTAAATATATTGTTAAAAATAGTAATTATAGCAAATGTAAATGTTAGTATAATTATATTAATTATTATTACACTGGCCCAGCCACTTCTCCCATCTTGAGAAAAAAGTACCTTGTAGAGCCTTGCAACTCTAGGTGCAGATGGAACCTGCAACTTGGAATCCCCTGGGGGCCTGTGAGAAATCTGCTCAAACCTCATGAATCAGAATCAGAAAAATAATTTTTAGTAGCAGTATTCTGAAGCAGGTGGTAGAAGACATTTCTGGATATATTACAGTATCTTCATACGTTTCAGGTCAGCCTGACTTGTGGATAAACACCAGTGTTAGGTATTTTCTAGCAGTAGAAGACAGTGTGGATCATCACTCCTGTATTTTACATAGCAAATTCTGTGTTGCCTTTCTTCTGCCTCCAAATAAAGGTCCCTGAAGTCCCTTTCAGTGGGTGAAGCCCAGAAAATGAAAATCTGTTTGTATGTTAGCCTAAGTAAGAGCTTACCCCAAGTTTTGCAGGTGGGGAGGGAGGCACTCCAGCTCAGGGGCACTCTGCCAATCCAGACCCATTTCTCCTAGTCTGAGTGGAGAAACAGTATTATATTTACATTAAAGCAAGGGCAATACATCATGGGATAGACAAGATCTACAAAACCTTTAAAATAAGACATGTAAACAGACCTTCCCAGTGGTGGGAGCTTTCTAATGTTAAGGGCTCTGAGATGTCAGTGAAACAGTTTAGAAAGTAAGTCTGTAATTAGTAATTTTTCTATAAATGGAAAACGAATGGCAGATTATTTAGGGATTATTAGTACTTTGATGTCCTTGAATTGGGGTGGATAATGTATAAAAGCATAGTGACATGTGGCATATTTTCATTTTAAAACATATGCTTTTGCTATACCTAGTATTTATAACTCTGAAAGCATTGAGAATAGAACATGAGGTGTTACAGAAGACATTCTGCCTGATGTGTAATACAACTTTTAATCTCATTACAATATAGTCATGATCTTTTAAAATACAGAAATAACGTCCCTTAGCAGACTGCTCCCAAGGACGCAAACTTATTTTCCATGCCTTGTTTAATTAAGAACAGCTCCTCCATGTCAACCCTATTTAGAATTATGAGATATAATAAAAGCGTATGTTTCAAAATGAATATAGTTCCCATGTCACTATGTTTTTGTGTTTTAACTTCTTCACACTTTTGAATTAATTATTTTAAGAGTCTCTTATTAACTTAAATTTTGAAATAATGGCATAATTATATTAGAAATTTAGTGTTTTCTAGGGGCCTCTTTTGTGTGTACTAGAAAACTTGACTGATTTTACTTCCTTGACAGAATATTTGATAAAAATGATGATAAATTAAACTCCCTTAAAGTTATATTTTCAGATTTCCCCTGTTATTTTGAAGGATGTATTGTGTAAATAAATTTACAGTATAGCGAGTTAGTGAATACATATATTAAGCTTCAATTTACGTAATGAACGTCTCTGAAATGTGACTAAGCCAGTATTTTGTAAATTGAATTATATTTTCAGTATAATAGTAGTTATGTGGCACCCAAATAATATAGATCATTTTATAAAATTAAAACTTTTTAACATAGCAAAATCACTTAATTGTTTTGTTTTTGAATCCAAGTGTTTATGTTAATAAAATATGAACTTAGTTACATGGCTTTAAGATTAAAATTCTACCCCATGCTATCTTTTAGTTATTTTTTTAAGTTTCTCCTAAATACTGATCTTAATTTCATTAATACTGATCTTAAATACTGATTTTAATAAGATAAATACTGATCTTAATTTCATTGAAAATAGTAACTTTCAGCCGGGCTCGGTGGCTCAGCCTGTAATCCCATGCCTTTGGGAGGCTGAGGTGAGTGGATTGCCTGAGCCCGCAGGTTCGAGACCCGCCTGGGCAGCGAGACCTCATCTCTACAATAAATCAAAAAATCAGCCAGGCGTAGTAGCGCATGCCTGTAATTCCAGCTACTCAGAAGGCTGAGGCGGAAGGATCGCCAGAGCCCAGCAGGTCAAGGCTGCGGTGGCCGGGAGCGACCACTGTACTCCAATCTGGGCGACCCAGTGAGACTCCAACTGAAAAAAAAAAAAAAAAAAGGAAAGAAAGAAAATAGAACTTTCATTTGTTTAATTATGCTTTATGTTCTAAATTAATTGAAACTGCCAAAATATTTGCCTTGCTACTAGATATCAATAAAACCTCATTCAAATATGTTTTGGCAGTTGCTGAATTTGAAGGTATTTACTTTGTTTCATTTAGCATTCTAAAGATAGCAACTTTAAAAAAAAAAAAAAAAAAGTGGGAGTAAAGAGGCCTTGTGCCCATCCATTAAGTGCCTAAGTCTCATTTATGACTCTGGCATGCCCTGAGGTTCCTGAGGAGAACCCTGGAACCTGGCCAGGCAAACCTGTGTATGGATTAACTGTTTAACTCTTACTTGTCTACTCAGGCATGCATGCATAAAGAATGCTCATCTTCCTATTGTTTTTGATGTTGACAGCCCATGTGATTGCGAAGGCTAAAGGCCTTGCTATTCTGTCTGTGATCAAAGCTGGCTTCCTGGTGACAGCCAGAGGAGGCAGTGGGATTGTATTGGCACGCCTTCCGGATGGAAGTAAGTTGATGTCTGTTTACTAAAGGAGTAGAGAATCTTAACTTTTTTTACATTTCCAGTTTGAACGCATTTCATAGGGAGTGTGATGTTTCCTGTGTGTCTCCTAAAATAAAAGGGCTGCTCAGTTGAACGTGCAGTTTGGTGTCAGTGAATGAGTGAGGGAGTGTTGCTATTCACCTCCTCCCTCAAGTTATCAGACAAAACGTAATGTGTGGATTTGACTTCATTTTGTATACATTTTGTAATTCTTGGAGCAATTCTTTAAACATGGCAGTATATGAATTTTTACTCCTCAACTTCATGGTATAACTGCTTTCTTTTGTTTTATGGAAATTGATACAAAAAAAGGGGGCCATGTGCAAACTTTGCTGTTTTTGTGGTCGATCTTAAAAATGGTGACATTTGAAGAATTTCCTCCAAGGCAGAACCATATCAAGAACAGTATAATTTCGTATCCCTGGGGTGAAATGTATAACTTGATTTTTTAGAGATGAAATCAAAATATATTTGCCATGAGGCCGGGCTTGGTGGCTCAGCCTGTAATCCCAGCACTTTGGGAGGCCAAGGTAAGTGGATTGCCTGAGCCTACAGGTTCAAGACCAGCCCAGGCAACTTGGTGAGACCTCGTCTCTACAATAAAAAATAAATAATAAAAAATAAATTAGCCAGGCGCGGTATTGCGCGCCTGTAGTTCCAGCTACTTGACTGAGGAGGAAGGATCGCCAGAGCTCAGCAGGTCGATGGTGGGGTGGCCGTGAGCATGCATGCCACTGCACTACAGCCTGGCAGCCTTCCGAGTAGCCAGAATTACAAGCATGTGCTACACGTCCAGCTGATTTTTTGATTTACTGTAGAGATGAGGTCTCGCTGCCCAGGCGGGTCTTGAACCCGCGTACAATGCTTTTTATACCACTTTAACATTTGGTTTTCTATCATTTGAGTAAGTGAACACGTTTTTCTATTAGTAGCTGTTTTTTAGCACAGATAATTAAATTTTATTTCTGGAGAACACACGGGACAATTACAATACATATAGGTGTTTGTGAAACATGCAGTTTTTAAATATCAGTTGGTCCAATTCACTTTTACCTACCAAGGTGTCTCCACAGTCAGTATAAAAGTTTTCCTTAATTTGTGGCTCAACTTCGGTCAGTGGGTGGATATCACAATGAGAAGTACAGAATTCTCTCCTCAAGTATCATCCAAATGCTCATAGGCAGACTTCTCAGTAGTGAAACCAAACAATATAGAGGCACATTCCAGAGGTCCAGTGTCAGGTAAGACTCAAAGTCTGTGAGAAGTTCTCAGAGCTGTTAGAAGTTCCCAGAGGGTCAGGTTCCTGGCCACCCTTGTTGAGGAGGTGATTCTTGCTGAACAAATTCTGGGTTCCTCTCAGAACCTCAGGCACACCTTTCTAGTGATTTCAAAAACCTAACTTCTTATCTCGCATCTCTGAGCTATAGCTGCTCCCTCTACTGAAGGTAAGTTAAAGCTGCCCAAATAAGTCATGGCAAGTTCTCCAGGATGCTGTCCAAAACCAGTGGTCTTAATACAGCGACAGTTCCTAACATAGGGAACACAAAACAACTTTATCAGACAGTGAATCTTGCAATCAAAACTCCTCTAAAACCAGATAGCTTAGTTCTGGATATATTCAAACAATATCTTATTATCTAGAATGCATAGTAGCCACAAAAAAAAATATTAGAGTTTGAAAACTACTTACTTTTTTTTTTTTTCCTGGAGGATAAATCAGACTTAATTAGAAGATAGGAAAAGCTCCCAGCTGCAGGAGAGGACCCGAAAGGGGTTTGCCTACTAGCAGATTTTTTTTTTTTTTTTTTGAGTTGGAGTCTCTCTGCTTCGCCCAGACTGGAGTGCAGTGGCACGCTCCCGGCCACTGCAGCCTCGACCCACTGGGCTCCGGCGATCCTTCCCCCTCAGCCTTCGGAGTAGCCGGAATTATAGGCGCGCGCTACCATGCCTGGCTAATTTTTTATTTATTGTAGAGATGAGGTCTTCCCAAGTTGCCCAGGCGGGTCTCAAACCCTTGGACTCAGGCAATCCACTCACCTCGGCCTCCCAAAGCGCTGGGATTACAGGCTGAGCCACCAATTAGAAAGTACCTTAGTTAGACTATCCCCCTCCCAACATATTAAAAATATTTTTCTATATTTGTTGAACATAACTGTTACTATATCAAAAATAAGCATGCAGTAATCCTAAAATGTACCATGTCATGGCAAATAGAATCCCTGTACTTCATGTCCAAACTTAGAGAAATGTATCTTGTTAGAATTTTGACAACCTTGAATTTATAGCCTATTTTTGGTGCTTCTGCTAGGCACAAGAGATGTCTAACCAGTTTTTGGCCTCAGAAATGTACAACAAAAGCAATTTAGTATTATGTTATCTTTAGAAGTTATTATAATAAACTCCCTTGAATCTTTCTAATTTCTCATATCTATGATAAAATTCTGACTGAAGAGTAGAGCTGCAACCATATTATTTTATTAAAATATCAACTGCTGAAATTACCAAGTGCTGTATATGTTCAGTAGTTAGAACATCAAAAGTTTGTTTTTATGCATGTTGTAGAATAAGTTTAGAGAACATGGGTTTGTGAGTTTATGAGACTCAAAAGGAATATCTAATATCTTCAACTTTAAAAAAATGTATACATGTTTTGAAGAGTATTTTAAAACAAGGGAAAATACCTAAGTCTCACTATTTTAAAAAGAAACACTATTTGCATTTTAGCATTTTCCTTCCTATATTTATATATTGAGGATTTCAATATTAGAATAACGGTTTTCTGTTTGTTTTTATTAGAATGGTCTGCACCTTCAGCCATTGGGATAGCTGGCCTTGGTGGGGGGTTTGAAATAGGAATTGAGGTAAGTGGGTTATGTATATACACACAATTACCATATCCTCTGAAGGCTCCTAAAACTCCACACATGAAAATTGAGAGATTTCCTAGTGTTGTTATTTTACCACTGACACCTATGAACATTGTTCCCTTTTCTCAATGAATCTGTAGCTAAATCTATCTGATGATTCCTATTTTTTCTTTCATTTTCTTTCATTGAGAGTAGAATTTCTTTCACTTGCCATTTTATCTCTTTCCATCTTGAGCACATCTGTGTAATGACTATCTCAACATCTGGCAACCCATAACTGGCAATTTGTGGACTGCAAATTGCAAAGTTGCTTATATCCTTCAGTAGGCTGTGAAATAACTGTGACAGTGCATCATTTGTGGCAAAAATCTAATTTTATAACATGTGATATTCAATTCCCTTCAAATTCTTTAGGTTAAGATTAACTTCACGTTATTTCAGTTTGTGACTTTGTTCTTGGTGATCATGACATCTGTCAAATCAACTAGAAATTACATACCAGGATATACTTGTTTACATAGATCTGTTACATGGGCATCATCTTATGCATTGCAATAATCTTTCATCTGTTGCCTTATTGCTAAGTAACTGGTAAATCAGATCTCTTATGCTAAATTCAGTTTCTTCTCAAGTTTCAGTCAATTTCTTCCTAAGCTGTCCTTTTGTAAATTTGCTCTGTTGCCAGAGTTTTAAATTCCCTCAGTGTTATTTCTGCTAACTCTTTTTTATCTTTCTTTGAACTTATACTCACTGGTGTATAAATTTGTACTATAAAAAGAACTTATTTTAGTTTTGTTTATCAAGATTGCATTTTTTTTTATTTATATGAAGCTAAATGAAAACTTTCAAAATATCACCTTCTGTGGACAGTATATTCTTGTTAGCTATTGTAGTTCCCCTCTCTTCCCTCCTGTTATCCCCCTCCCCATCCTGTCTCCCTCATTATAGACTGGCATTTTTCTTTAATTAGATCACATTGCTAGACTCAGTTCTGCTGAGACACAAGGAGTCAGAAGGTTGTGGAAAGTCAGAGGGTTCTGCTTGTAAGGCTGGGAGGTGTGCTTTGAGGATTGTTTCAAATAGCATTTATTTCAAAAATGATGAGAGACTATGAAATGATGATGGCATTACATGTCAATATTTTAAAGACCAAAAGTAAAAGTTTCTATGATAATATTTTGGAAATTTTAGACTTTCAGCCACAGGGCACATTACTAACTTTGAAAAAAAGTACAAGTAAAACGTAGTCTTGTCATCCAGTAAATGAAGTAGAAAGATTTTAAGTAAACATTTTATGACATGATACATCTTGTTATTCCCAAAAGACCATACAGTATTGTGTTGAGCCATTAGAGCGAAGACTGGGTCTGGTGACTGGGGTTGGGACTCTGACCTGAGCGCCTCTGCTCTGTGATGTTGCTTTTCTTCTCTGTGCTTTAGTTTCTTCATTTGAAAAACAGATAAAAGTAGCCTTTCCTCTGGGCTTATATTGGTGATTGGATATGGACTTACACATAAAAAGCACTTGGAGTTTTTATTATTAATATTTTTATCATTGCAACTTATTTATGCTTGCCATTTATAGAACCTTTTGATTGCAAAACTTGTCTTCATGACAGTATAGAAATTAACTCTGGAATTTCATTTAAATAATGTTCTTAGAAGATAGTTGTTAACTTCTTTTCTTTTTTTGAGTTGGAGTCTCACTCTGTAACCCAGACTGGAGCGCAGTGGCCACTCCCGGCCACCGCAGCCTCGACCTGCTGGGCTCCAGCAATCCTTCCGCCTCAGCCTTCCAAGTAGCTGGAATTACAGGCATGTGCTACCACACCCGGCTGATTTTTTTGATTTATTGTAGAGATGAGGTCTCGCTGCCCAGGCGGGTCTCGAACCCGCGGGCTCAGGGAATCCACTCACCTCAGCCTCCCAAAGGCGCGGGATTGCAGGCTGAGCCACCGAGCCCGGCCGTTGTTAATTCTTAAATTTAGATAAGCATCTCTTAGGAATAGGAAATATGGACTTTCAACTTCTTAAATGTGACCTGACTTTGCCTCTAAGTATAATCTCATGAATTATACACAATTATGTTTCAGCTGT